ACTTGGGCTAACAAAAACAATAATAATATCCCAAATTCAAATACACGATGATATAGTATGTCATTGCTGACTATTTTGAAATATTGTGACTAGTAATGTTAAAAAAGGGTGTGTTATTTTGTAAAACAGTACCGGATTTCAACTATGAATTAACACACAGACTAAAATCACGATTTTCGAGACACTTCGTGATAGATCCTGGAAGGGACTTAAGATCTCAATCCGCGCACACGATCATGTTTCTTATTGATAAGAAATTCTAATTAACTACTTTAGATCATAAGGTCTGTGATTGAGTCAAGTGAGGTGGTTTCGATAGCTTGTATGTGACAATGGGTGAGGTCGGCTATACAACCTCGTGGGTTTTTGATGACCAACATGATGACTTATCAGGAGATGTATGTTTGGAATAGAAACGAGTTATGTAAAGACAGTAGAAACTCCGCTCGGATCTCGGTCGACTGACAGACAGTTTTAACTAGGGAATCGTGTGTGTATTGATATACATAACTGCTTTTAACGACCTGTAAAGCTGTTTATGGTTGCTCACTTCGAAAGATTTTGACTCTGTAAAATAGTCCACCAGTTCGTTTATCAACAACAAACAGAAAATAAAATGAATATATTTCACAAACAAGCTTATCCTGTTTGTAATCGCCCTTAAAATGGGAAGTAAGTCTATTTAAAAATATATATTTTTTTTTATATAAAATAATAACAATATTGCTACTAATTCACCTAACTTGGTGTGTGATACCATGGGCCGTATACGGTTACTTCCAACTTCCCATGTATGCCACTTGCGAGATTTGCTTCTTGTCGACCTTTCTAGGTTTAATGAACCTGCTTATAGTCCAGCCTCCGATGATGGGTTGTATGTTAATTCTAGTTGGGGGTGTAAGATTGAACATACAATAATTGAACAACTCACTTCTTCTTTGTATATTTCTATATATTGGCAACACACAACAATAATAATATAGATACAATAATAACCCACAGGCTAAGTAACTTAATAAGGAACAGTATCTAAGAAATACCTTATCAGAGACCTGCCCTTCAGTATGTCCTGCTGCCTGCCTGTGGCAACTACCGCCTTCTTTTTCAATATACAATTTTCAGGACTTTCATACATTTAGCTCTGATTCTTAGTAACTCTCACTTTATAATCCTTAATTACATTAATGTCTACTGGATAAACTGGACATATAGATAATAATTTATGAAACAATGTCTCTCTAATATAATTACAGAGTTGACTTCGATTAGGCTTCTGGCTAATCTGTAATGGCTGGGACCTCAGATTAACTCTGCTCTAATTCTACCTGGTTATATTAGCACGGCAAACGTACATCGATTCATAAACCTATTGTATGTGAACAAAATTCCCTATGATGGTTTCCATTTTTTCCTATAACACAGTCCGTTTCGCGGTGTACACTCTTGCCAACGATGCTGTGTGGTCTGGATGCCGGTCAGAAAGAAAATTTCTTCAGCCACCCTAAAAAAGTCGTTCACAGCTAACACGAGGTCATCATTACTAGGAAAATGACGACCGACTAGTTCTTTTTTTCATATTTGGAAACAGGTCTTATCCATGGTTACAAATCTGGCCAATTTTTTTTTTATCAGGATCTGGTTCCAATCGGAGCAGATTGTCACGAGACGTCAGGAATCTGACCCATTTCTGATCCGCAGTTAAGAGCTTTGGCATCCATGTTGCAGAAACTTTTGTCATTCCTAACTCGTTGGCGATAATGTGCTCAGCCCTCTCATGAGAGATGCCGACGACACTGGCAATATGTCGAATGGCCAATCGTCGATCAACCATCACCATGTCATGCACCCGGGTAATGATTTCTTGAATTGTGGCTGTTGATGGCCTTCCAGGACACGGGTCATCGTCAAGGCGCTCTCTGTCGCGCTTGAACTCCCGCAGCATCCCACTACTTTATTGTGGAAAAGAAAGGGGTATCATCCCCTAATGTGGAGACCATGTCGGCATGTATCTGTGTTGGAGTTAGTCCTTTCAGTTGCAGGTACTTGATAACTACCCTATAGCCAGTTTTGCCCATTTCTGGTGATTTCAATGTGTAGGTTCACAAGATGCGAAGAGAATAATAACACCACCTTTGCAGTTCTTGTGTCTATGATTCATTCAATGATTATACTTAATGGTGGGAAAAGTTTGTTTTAACCCAATTGGTCTATCCTTTCAGGCTTAGAACTTTTCAGTCAGCCCTAGTATATGTCTATTCAATAAAATAAATTATTTTGTAATAGGCGTATTTCTTGAAATCGGGAATCATTTGAGATTAATATAATCTGAAAGGGATATCCTAAAAAAAGTTTGTTCTTGGCATTGATGGCCTAAGAATATTTTTTCAAGGAGTACCAGACAACCTTATCGGAAAATAATTATAAATCTTAACTATACAACAACAATTGGTAACGATTTGCGTTTATGTGTAAAATGTTTCCTTTGGCAGAATATCAAAGGTATAGAATGGTGTTTCATTGGTGCTTACCATTAATTTGAAAGCAAAGCCGTGTCTCGTGTTTACCTGTTTATCTGAACAAAGGTAACGAGTATCTGGAGGAGGAAGTACCTGCCATTTGCCGGGGAAAATCTCAATTGTCAAAAATCGATAGCAGGTCGTTAAATGAACATACAACAACATGGCTATGTATTTATCAAATAGAATAATCAATACTGGAAGTCACACTGCTACTACACCGTCGTTTTTTTTATTTGTACCATAAAATCTGTGTGAAAAATGTTATATTCATTTTTTAACGTTGCTGTCAGAGATGTGAAATAATGTTTTTACGTTGCTGCCAAAGATATGAAATAATAAAATAATGCTATCGCGTGTTTAATTTATTGCTTTGTTCAACATCATTTTGTTTTTTGTTTTTATGCACTAGAAACCTGAGAGCTTTTAATTAATTCCGAATGATCTGAAGTTCGATCTTAGAGTAAGCGGTATAAAAGTAAAGTTGTCCAGGGGTGAACTATAAAATACTTTAGAAAAATAACAACAAACAATATCTCTGATTAATACCGGATAGAGTAACGGAAAATATAATACCAAAATCATTCCTGAATAATTTGTTGTCTATAATTAAATCGATGCTATTAATTATAGTCGTACTTTGATTAATTATGCATTAGTTATCTCAAAATGATCTACTAACGAATATCGATAGACTAGAACGATGTAAATCTTAAAACATTTGACATCTTGCCAAAAACTGAATGGATTCTTCTTTTAAACAAAATATCATAAACATAGCGAGAGAGAGAGAGAGCGAGAGAGAGAGAGAGAGAGAGAGAGATGGGGTTTAACGTCCACTCGACACAAATTAGGTCATTTCGGGACTAACACATGGTTCAATTTTATTTCAATATTTCGCTTGCGCGTAGGGGTCTTTAGCAGTGGGACCCTACTCCTTGTTACGTACAACCAGGGAATCGAAACCACGCCAGTTGACTCAATAACAGACCCTATGATACAGCGCGCACGTGCTAACCATTCGGCCATCCACCCCCACTATAAACATAGCAATGCGGTATATTAATACCGAGGATAATTATAATGCCCTGTAAAACTAAGACAAATTTGTTTCTGTGGAAACACAAATCAAATTCGTCAAACATCTAATTTGTCAAAAGCACGACAATAATAATAATGTACAAAGTTTAATAAAGAAATAGTTCATGAGAATATATTCCGGAAACAACATCTGTGTGGAAGGGTTCCATTTCCGAGTTATATAAAACAACTGAAAATGTAGTAAGGGAATGATATTAAATACTAACCACTGTCGAAACCATGAAAGGTTGGATATTGCCAGCAATACAAAAACTATTGAAGGAAAGCGACAAGTTTGCAATAAGAGAGTCCTTATGTGATCTGAAACGGGAGATGAGTGACCAATAAAATGGGAAATCATTGGGAAAAGAAATTATAAAACGACGTCTTGGGCTCAGCATCATTTATAGTACAGTAACTACTTCGTGGATTTCCTCTCAAACGACCGGTTAAATTCCTGGACTTATTTTCTTGTTTGAAAATCATTTCCGGTGGCTGCCAGTAACGTTATTTGAAAAGGAGGCGGAATGGAGAGGAACACATATAGTTTAGATTATACAAGTCTTTCTTCTCCTGTTCTCGCTATCGCTACGTGTTGTTACGAGAAATATAATCGGCACGTTGAAAGTGAAAATGGCAATTTGTTGAGAAACGCAGAAACTTGTTATCATTGATAGGTTAAGTTTGAACAGTGATCGGTTGGCTGAATACGTGACGTCAAGTTAAATGTAAGTGTTAATATCACATATCGCGGAAATCAAAGCTCAATATTTTGTCCAAACTGCATATAAAGTAAATCACATCAGTCACAAAACTCAATAAGCCAATTTCCTCCACATGATTAACTCCTCAAACTCCCATCTTTCAACATTTTTATTCTTTGTTCACCGTCGCGGGTTGTTGTGCGCTTGCGCCAGCTCTGAACTGAAAAGTTTTTAGAAAGCCAGCACGACTCATATGACTAGATGAGCCTTCTATTAAAATAGATTTTGCATGGTTGGAGATTTGTTCTCTTATTAACTTTTTTTTTCAAGATAGACACTGCAGCTTTTACATGTTTGTTTTTAGATCAATATAATTTATTATACAGTGTGGTCTGGAAAGAATGATCTAAATGCCGATACTATTCATTATATTTCTGTAAATTTTAAATATAGAAATGTGTCAAAAACAGGGTGTGGTACTGCAGTCAATAGTAGGGTCTAAAGGAAGAAAGTGACAATCGAACCATAAATCTCACATTAAAATCACTGTTTATACCCACCACCTCCCACTCTATCCATCTATATTGCACATGCTAACCACCCCCACCCCCCATTTCTCTGCACCAGCCCCTTTAGATACCAAATTAGCAAGACTAATTTTATAATAAGTTTTATTAAAAAAGAAATTAATTCATATGTATTTATATTTTTTTAGAATAATATTGCGTTTTATTTATTCAATAAATATACATCATATTATTACATACACTGTATTATATCTACATTTCGATATTATCTATAACAATATATTTTTCAGATTTAATATATACAGCAAAAGCACTTCATCTGCCTGACTATTAAAAAAGATGAGAACCAAAACTTAACAAAGAGAATTGAAATCTGACCGATCAATGAATGATTACCTGTATAATACTTGTTTGATTTCCAAGATCTGACCTTTGACTTCATAAGAATGTCTTCGAAACAAGTGACTTTTAAGAATATATTGCCATGCCACGCAAGGAGGTGAATGGCGGCGTTCATTTGCCAAGCATTAGATAATGGTATGGGCATCCTCTAGTCTCTAGATTGCTACCGATTATGTTTATTCAGTTATATTGACTATTTGCATTTTGGTAACATGAAGTCTCAACAGGAAACTGGAAAAGCTTTAACATGATACACTAGTTTTCATCGACCATTTTTTACACTGCTTTTATTAGTTCAAAAATTTTGTAGTGCTTTCATTCGATATTACCAAGATCATAATAAAATAAAATTAAAAATATGAAGCACAAAAAAATAAATATACAATAGTTTAATAATTATTTCAGTTAGTAATTAATAACTATTTAATTAATTTACGCAGGAATGATCAATACCTTTTAATAATTAATATTAAAACATAATAATATATTATGGCACTCTCTCTATAATAAAGAGGGGATAAACACTAACAATATGATTACCATAATATATAGACACTGTACATTTAATATATTTCGTATAAATTAAATTTAATTAAGTCTGTATATAAAATTTCAGTACAATTTTCTATATACACAATGTAAAGAAACATAGATCTAATAATACGTTTTTATGCATAGTAAGATCCTAAGTGTGATGGCAGATGACCTGGATGATGGGGCATCACATGACCAGGAATTCCGGTGAAAATATTACTGTTCGTTGTTGACCAGTAAGGTGTCGTGGATCCAAAAAAGCCAGACCCTGGAGTTGACATCGGCGGATGCGTCGGCATGAAGTTGGGACTCGAATATCCAAACATGTCTTGTTGATAACGAAGTGTAGATGAATCGTTAGAATTAGATTGAAGGCATTGGGCCAGTCCAGAAAAATCAAACTTATAAGCATAACGTTTACCGTGAACTTTGGTCATAATGTTCTTGTCGTAGTAGTAACGTAAAGCACGACTCAGTTTGTCGTAATTCATGTTAGGTTTGCTCTTCCGTTTACCCCATCGCCTTGCAACTTCATCAGGGTCTACTAATTTGAATTCGCCATTGGTTCCTTCCCACGTAATACAGGCAGCATTTCCGCTGTCCGATAACAGTTCGAGTAAAAACTGCCATAGCTGAATTTGCCCACTTCCTGTAATAACAAATATAATTTGATTTTCAAATAAAAACAATTAACACTATAGTAACAAAACGTCAATAAATTAGTCCTCATGACAAGGATATGATTAATAATCACCCCGAAGATTTGAAGAACTCGATTGTATTTAGGATATTTATTTACAGTTTTAAATCCAGGTATCTTAAAAGTAAAAAGCTTACCTGAACTAGATAATCGACTTGACATCGGTCCAAACAGTTGATAGGGATCTAGAATTAAGATATTTAAAATAAATACATAATATTTAACTTGTTAATTCAACATTTTACGTCATATGAAAGAAATTACATTTAGTTAAATATCAATCTAAATGTTAATAAATGTGATTTAACTATGAGTCAAAGTACATTTGGCTATTTTACATTTGGCTACATTTGGCTATTTTACACTTGGCTATTTTATGAAGCAAACTATTCGACGTAAATATTACTCCTATGTTATTCTAGTCGGTAAACTATGATGAAGGAAATCGAACGCGGGGTTATAAAAAGTATATAAATTTCAGATTTATACGCCACGAATCCAAGGAACAAATCAAAGAACAATATGTTGAGCTCTGGCAATACAACACGTACCGGGGGAAAAAATCAATCTGACAACAATATACTGAATTTGTTACGTACTTTTATTTGTCAAAAATAATAAAGATTTGTGAATAAATATATAAAAATGTTCATTAAAAATTCTTAAATAGTCAGTCGAGTAGAAGGTAAGATAAAATATATATATATTCAAAGACAGACATATCTCTTTTTAAGAAAGGAAATAAATTTTGTAGGAGTGAGAAAAAAGGAGAAACAGAGTCATACATTCTCATCAAGTTCACAAATATCAAAGTTCTCGTTCAACAAGATCAGAGAACGTTTAGGCGAAGCAGTCATCCGTTTCTTAAACACATTTTTACATTAATGTATCAATTCATTGCCATTTCAGCATATTATGAAGCTTGTCACCTAACTAAAGTAACATTGACAATCACATTAGGACGTTAGCGTCAACTATATTCAATATGCAATCAGGCGTGGTGCCACTTTGATGCAATCTAGCCCCATAATGGAAAAGCTACGAATCTATTTTCAACGGCTACTTCCTGCTCATGCTATGGAATACGAAATTAAAATCAAAGACTGGGTAACATTTTATTTTGTATGGTGTGTTTTCTTTGTGATTTCTATCGTGATTTATCGAATTAAAAATATATTTATAACTTATATTGCAAGATTAGCTTTATTGCATGGGAAGAATACAGATTTAGAAAAAAAATACTTATATAATGAATTAATAAATGAAGTGGGGTTTAACGTCCTACTTTTCTGCACCTTTCGAAACTTAAACAAAAACTGATGACGTGGAATAAATCTTAACAATTTATAACGTGTTAACTGTAGATTTTAAGGAAGTTTTTAAGATGTAGTCTGCATGTACACTTTATTAGTCGTGTAAATATAAATCCTTTTGACGTTTGTTTTTAGTACCAACCTAGTTCCTCCCACTGCTAAAGACCCCTGCGCGCAAGCGAATTATTGAAATAAAATTAAACCATATGTTAGTCCCGAAATGACCTAGTTTGTGTCGAGTGGACGTTAAACCCCATCTCTCTCTCTCTCTCTCTCTCTCTCTCTCTCTCTCTTTGTTTTTAGTAAAACTGGTAAAAATATAGATGTACTATAAAATACAATGGTGACTAAATAAAAAAAATATGAATATATTGATCTACAGGTGTCACTTCAATTGATTGACAGGTCAACATGTAATGTCTGTCTATCATATCGCGTCTTTATCTTTAAAAAATACTATGATTATTACCAATTAAACAACTCGCTTCATTTAACTTGATTAGCCTGAAGTGCAATCATAACTGATGGAAGGCCATGACACGCTTAAGGCGAAACGGCATAGAATATGCACACGCGAGTTCCGTTTTTGACACGCGTGCGACGCTGTGTCTTTCCGTTAATCGGGAGCATCGTTGAGAGACTGGACAATGGCTATCGCTAAGCGTTTGACCGTTGAAGAGCTCAGGTATACAACAATGACCATTAGGGTATAAATGTCTTAAAACGCGATATGGTCATTAATACATCGTGTTCTTATTTGCATCCAACCAGTCCATAATGCGTAAATGATGACAGTTCGGATCATTTGATGTATGGACAATAACACTGTACACCGTTTACACCGTTTAGAGTGATTTGTCCTGTATGAACGATATGATGAGACCGATAGGAGCTGGTGAATAACGTAACAAGGTTCATTTACGAGTTTATTTGTCCTCTCACATTATACAAAACATCGGCAACGCAATATTGTCTGAATAGGGTTTGACGTCCTAACAAAGAGCTCATTAGACCGTATGTAATGAGGTGTTCAAAGTGTTAAGTATATGGGCATCTGTGCGAATAATAAGTCAATTCATGACAAATGTTACATGGAGCACATGCTAGGTGATGGACCTTAAGAATCTTTGTTAAAAGTTTGTTGGGGTGGTTTTTTTTTAAAAAAAAAAAACCCATCTCAGTTACACTTACTCACGGTTGATTCCTTCGACAAAGATTAACAAAAAAAACCCCCTAAATATTGGAGTAAATCGGTTGGTTGTTTGAGAAGAATCATTGCTTATGCTTAATACTACATGTAGTATGTTAGAATTATATTATATTTGAAATATTAATATGGGCCACAATCAGTGGTCAAGAAAATATCTAATTTGAGGTCTGGAGCGAACAGACCGTTTGATTTTCTTAACCTTTGTTTTTTATCGGAAAAATCTATTTTAAAGAACACCGTATAAAGAAATACACCCTTTATTATATCCACTTTTTATTCTTATTGATTGGGTGAATGTAGGCGAAACGGTTTTATTTGTCTGTATTTATTTTGTATGTTTTAAATAGGATTATTAATTTAATTCTCAGAAATTATCAGCGAATAAATAAATGTAATTATTAATATCATATTTAAATAAGCTTTTCTGAAAATCCAAGCACTGGCCAATACTTAGAGAATAATTGTCATTTGCGCCAGCCTTCATCAAATAAAAATGTACGTTCGTAAAATGTTTACAACTCGGTGATGGCTAGAGAGATTTTTCTAATAGTTTGTTTAGATTCCAAATTAAACTTCTTTAATTTGTAACATAAAGTCAAATCACGTCAAATTGAAACTTATAGCTTTACGAAATAGACAAGACCTGCAAAGAACTAATGTCTCTTTAAGGTAGAAATAGTACTGGGTAATGGCAAGAGGGGAGAAAGAGAGAGAGAGAGAGATTTCGGGACTAACACATGGTTCAATTTTAATTTAAATAATTCGCTTAAGCAGTGGGGGGGGGGGGGCGGAAATGGCAATAGGAGTATGACTCATAAATAAGTATTATGCATTGTACTTTTTGAAACACACATTACACAACAATCTGATCTATATTTCGTTTTTTTTTATACTTTCGATGGCCTACACTACATGAAGATCTGGCCGGTTATACTGGATGGTCAGACATTGATTAAGCAATCAGTGTCGACGTTTCTAGTGGTTTACCCACAGTTCTGTGCACCAAACGCCCAAGAACCCGCTGTAACAACAGACCGTTTCATTGGCTAATCCCTCACGTCAACCAGAAACCGGTGTAGTAAAGGCAAGTAAAACGAAATTTTGAACTATAAAAAACGAAACGAAATAGAATCTGTGTTTTAATCAGATTGATCTCACAATATATTTTATGAAATACATAACATCACAATATAAACGCGTTTTGTTTCTGTGATATGGTAACATTATGTGATAAAGACTTTAAAGTTTGTCTGGGGGTTTATTAGTTTAGATGAAATATAATATTCTAGAAGCAAGAATCCCGTTCTAAACACGATTCAATCAATGGCGGAAACATTGATAAGGTTTCGTCAATACCGGTCGGAAATCTTTGAGGTGGCTGTCATCAGATTTAGAAAAAGACAATTTGACTGGCCATTGTCTGCAAACATAGGCCAGGAAGCCCCATATCTTACACTATTGTCTTGAAGGGTTTCATTCAGGAAAGACACTGACTAACATTGTCACATAACTCAACAATCTGTTAGCAATTATCAGGAACTATCTCTTAACACGATGCCAATCACATATACGTGTCCCTGTATACAAAGTCTCTAATCTATGTCCTGGGAGTATATCTAACTCAATTAAGATGTATTGATTACGTTGAAATTTACTACGATTACCGCTTGAATATATAAAGATTTGAATTGGGTTGTCTATATTTGTTTTCTCTCCATTGAATCGACTTTGTTAAGTGTATGTACCATGATTTGGATTAAGTCACAGAAAATTATTGAACTTATTTTAAACTCAGAGGCTGTATTTATTTTTTCGCCTAAGATTATAATTCCTATTCTGTGCCAAATTAAGAATCGTCAAGTTGTAAGTATATAGGTATTATTAGAAAAGAAACGTAGTATAAAGCTGTAATTACCTTGTGTTCTCCATTGTGTGTGGGTGTTGTTATAATTTGATTTAATACCAGGAAACCCAGAATGACCATATCCTGAAAATATACAAAATAAAAATTTCTTTAATATATATTTCCAAACCGACATTGCTGTAGATCTTGGCAGCGGAGTCTTTAATAGTCTCTGAAAGGGGGATTATTGGAACAAAATAGAAAAGAACAAAATAGAAAAGAACAGAAAGGGACTAAACTGAATGTAAAACCCTTACAAACAAACAGATAACTAAATATAAGCCATTATATTAAAATATTCTTTGGTAATTATCAAAAAGGCATCTGTGGGTGAAACTAAAGACAACCATGCGGTTACCCGGACGTTGATTCTATCTTAAAAAACAATAAACTGTGAAAAATGAAGTTGTGCTAACCAACTCGGTTAAACGCCCGCCTTAATTGCTTTTGTTGTATGTCCGTGCACGCCGTTGGTCGATTAAAAGTTGGGTCATAAAATTGTCAACTTATCTCTTACCAAATTAAATGTGAATATCTTGAACTACATTGTTTAGATGAAAAGTAAATCGAAAAAGACAAGCTTGGCATTATTTATCGCTAAAAGATGGCACCATTTTGAACAATGCTCCCTACATATAAATGGCAATTTCCACATTGTACACATAACGACGTAGCATATTAAATAAATTTTAATTTATTGACTTTTTCCCCAATTTATGTGAATCAAAAAAAATAAAATGGAATTATTTAAGGTCATATCATTATGCACCTACCCTCTCCCCCGGACACCCCCTAACAAAAGAAATTACATGCACATAAATAAAATAATCGAAATAGGTATTATACTGAACACCTGTTTACTATTAACAAAATGAACGAACCTTGTGCAGTGACAGGGGGACTTGATGACCATGGACTTTTAGTAAATGTTGGCTCTGTGAAAACAAATTTTCAAAATCAATTGATGGCAGTGTGATAGTTATGCATGCATTACAAATACAATATTGAAAACTGTGTAACAAGAATCCCATTAAACGTTTTAATATTCTAAGCATTGGCTGTGTTTTATAGCACATCATCACACAATTTTCAGACATTTTTTCCCCGAAAATAAATATTATACCTGCAAATAGAAAACCCGGAAGTCCTGTAAATGAACATGGCCGAAATAAATCCTGTCTCTTCAAAGTCTGCATCGAAGAAAATATTCAAACCAAGATGGAACACTTTGATATGAAAATTGTAGAATTCCTAAATAAAAACTATTCTCCACATGAAAAGCTTTGTTACTGGGATAGCAAACACGTAACAGTGAGGCGATACATCAACAGTCGTAATGCAAAATCACGCAAAATCGTTCTTCAGTTCCGTAGTTGGCATCGACAAGGGGAAATCGTCACTCATGCCATTTGACAAGAAACTAAAGTCACAGGGGCTCATTTCCCGTACGAGTTTTATATGCGACTTCTAATACAATAACTGCAATTTGCAACAACTAACCAATCAATTGATTGTAAAGTTAAGTCTATCGTCCAATGTGGCGGCTAATCTTTTCGAGCTTACAATCAATAACTCTCTAAGTAGTCTAATGTAATCACAACCACCACGTGCTCGCGAATGTTTACACGGAACCCAGTGTCGGAAGGGTCACCTTTTCGGCTTTTCAACGCTAGAGAGTTCTGAAGAGTTGCAAATTGAGGGCAGTTCAGATGTATGAAATGCGTTGATTAAAGCTAGTAAAGCGAGGAAGGGAGGACATTATGTTGATTATCACCCAGAGTCGATCATTTTTTCCTCCGGACCGAATCACCTTCAAACAGTAGCGTCTCTATGATTTCACTGGGTTTTGATTTCACGACGCCACAAGACCGAGAACTGAAGGCAACGAGATACAAATCTCTATTCATTTCAGTAATCATTTTGCAATTACGCGATGATGTGTTGATAGTTAAATATTTACTGTATTTCCTGATATTTGAACGAGAGTGAAATGCTTTTAAGCGTTTTGTTTACTCAATCATTGTGTTGCAGGAAAACTAAATTGGTAGTTCGTTTCCTACGCGTTAACTATTACAATTAAGGAAAGCAATTTAGAATCACCGTTCTTTGATTGTGGTACACTATGGCGGGTATTGATACGACCACGTTACGTTTCAATAACCTGTTTCATCAGATTGTTTTAGCTGTTCGACATTCAAACTACAAAAACTTGAGGACAAAGACTCATCATATTGGTTTGTGTAGACTCGATGAGGTAGAACATAACATGAGAATCGGAAAACACTTCTGTCAGGGTCTAGCGCCTCCATTTTGTATCATTATTGTATCATAACTTGTATATTGATATTGAAAATACCGAACAAATTAAACTTGATTAACTTTATCTCGGACATATTATTCACATCTCTAGACACAGTTTAATTATGTCTTCATTTTGTAGATAAGATGCTAGTTGGTTTTACACTTCTGTTTCCCTTTAAGATAAGGTAACATTTTGTTTGTCATAGAGATAGAGAGAAAGGACATTAGATGCAAGCATGAAATTATCAATTAAGAAAATTAAATTTTAATTTGCCACGTTCTTGTAAAGTTACAATGCGGTCGGAAAAATATAATTTTATAACGAAGCATGTACTTTGGTATTAAAAGTCACGAGATACCAATGCCCCCCCCCCCAAACACACACACACAAATCATTAGTTAAAGTAGCTATGTCTCTAACTCAATATCATCAAAAATCTTCGACATTCAAAACATGAATTATTTGTCAACTTGAGATCTTTCAGCGCCATTTGGAACAAGAGACTCAAAGAACGAGGCTAGTCATATTCAACAAGTCATGTCAAATGGTGACGCTATATTCTTATCTGGAGAGCATGCGCAATAAATACTATCGGTGTAGACTGAAATAACCAGACGCTAAAGATTGTCATTCAATTGAGACTTCTGGCGTATTTCGCCGAACATAAATGATTAAAAATTACAGTAGAAACAGAAACGATTAAATGTAAATCAGTTTATATACATTCATATTTCATTATCATATGTGTTGCGAGCCATTTTTGTCGATTTCTAAGTACCAAATATTAGCGATTTAGCTCCTTTAACTCCGAATGTTCCCATTGTTATTTCTATTTTTTTCAATGGAATGAATGAGTGAAATGAAATTAGGTCTATCGTCGTATACTTTTATGTTCCAACCGGGGATTTGGTCCCACCGAAAGACTAGACGCTGTTCCTTGCCAGATAAAGATACAAAATAAGATCCAAGTTTTTAATTTGAGAAGAATATGTTCTTTAATTGTCCTTGTAAGGTGTACAATTTGGATATACCTATAGTTAAAATATGTTTGTTTTTTTATATTTAAGAAGTTTATTTAGTTTATGGGGTTTTATTATTAGATGACCAAGGAAACGTGGGCGAATTTACCCATTTAACACCTTAAGTGTGATGTTTCATACCTCATTTAGTAGTTTCACAAATTCTATTCATTTGTCGTTAAGGTAATTATGGCTCCTCATTGTCTCTTCACACATCTAATTATTTAATAACACAATATGTAACGTTTGTTTTTCACAGCTTGCCGTTACGTGGGTTCAAAGCAGCACCTGTTAGTGTTAGCCCGAAGTTAACTAGTGTCAACAGTTTAAGAATAATTTAATAGACCAAACAGAATATTCGTACTGTACTGGTGTCCAGCCCAGCCCCACACTACCCTACCCAATTACATGGATCATTAAAGGGGGTGACATATTCATTCTAGCTCTAGAACGCCGGGTGAAATAATTTATTAAAAGATTAAAGACTCTTCGTTTTAAGAAAGATAGAACATATCTTGAATCCAGCCAACACTTGATGTTTCAGCTCGAAAATGTTTCACACCTACCCACACGGCACAGGCACTTGAAGGGATTAAAATAAAACTTCTTACTACTGCTTGACTATATATTATCAGGGCCGGCGGCTGCAATTCTTGGTTGGTGGGGGGGGGGGGCTAAAGCTCCGCCCCCCTAGCCCCCCCCACTCCGCCGGGCCTGATTATAGTATATACTATAATATATAGTCAAGCAGTAGTAAGAAGTTTTATTTTAATCCCTTCAAGTGCCTGTGCCACACGGTACTCAACAGATCGTCGCTTCCGTTTAAATTGGATTGAATTGGAAGACCAAATAGATAAAATCTCAACTGATTATAATAACGTGAATAACATAAGTTAATAATGATGCTTCCTGTTTAAATTTTATGTATTATCTCCTCCTTTTAATAAAATTACGGTCAACATTAAAATGACACTACTTATTTCATCTGGGTCAAAAATAAAATCGTCGATCTCGTTGGATTGTATATGTTGACTTTGTTTCGTTGGATGACAATTTGTCTTCATTCGGTGTCTACGTCACTTGATAAAGCCAATTTTGAGATATAACCAAATGTGTCGACATAGTTAGTCAATTTTTCGAAACAAAATTTTATAGAGCTTGTCGCACCACTAATCGACTGGGCACAGGTCAATTCAATACTTATTTTGAAAGATATGAAAGTGGTTTAGCTCTTCTAAATCATATTCAGGTAGTGTACTAAAATTGCACCGCTGCGACTTACATCACTGCAGATTCTGAAGAAGTGTCTCGAACAAAATATAACGCGAAGACCTATTATGTTTTCCAAAGAAAATTACATGAAAGATCGTAGGTATCGTGTATCTCTTTTAATTGCATAAATACAAACGCTATGAAATACATACCTGTTTTTGGTATACAATAAGTAGCGCCACAACTGTTTTGATTGTAAGCTATGGTGGTTGTTCCCATGTGTGGACTGTTCTCAGGCAAGTCTGGTGTTTGACGTGTTGGAGAACTACCTGTGTAGAAACATATGATTTAGAGTGTTGAACAGACATAACTAAGAATATTTCGTAATATCTTTAATTTGAAATCACTAAATAGATATACATAAATAATTCAGCATGAAATACGAAGAATGCATCGGGAATAAAATGTTTACTTTTCAAAATATAAATAAATTAATGTAAAGATGTATATTGTCCATTATTGGAAAACATTATATTGCTTTTTGTTATTAATATCCCACGCTGTCAATGATTTTTAACCGAATTTCTCACGGGACAAGAAATTAAAGGGATATAACTCGAGTTAGCGTCAGTCAATTATTTCAATGATTTCAGCGCAGACGTTCAGCAGACTATACACCACCTATTCTGTTCCTATTAATGTTTAGAAAGTGCAAGTTTTGTTAATAATATATACAATAAAAAATGAAATATATTTTAATTCCATTGTTTGAATTTCACCAAGCAGTTTAGAAAATTTGCGAAAAGGTCAACATTTTCCACTTTGATTCCCAACCCGACGGCACTCGATCCCACCACGCATCACTTGGAGAGAGAGAGAGGGAGAGAGAAATGGGATTTAACGTCCACTCGACACAAACTAGGTCATTTCGGGACTAAGCATCACTTGGAACAAATCGTGGATGAAATTCATCAAACGGTTTTGGAAAGAAGACGAAAATTTCCCATTGTAACGTGAGTCCGCTCATCACTAAGTAATAAGCAAGTTTGAATAAGCATTATGCAAACAACAGACCTACACAATTTGATTGGAATCTATTGGTTCAGTAGAAGGAGTTAAAAACATAAAATTCAACGGACACGCGAGATAAAATCCAAGAAATTATAGATTTTACCTTTAATAACCCAAAACTCTGTGACTCTGGGTTTGTGAAAGAATGTAAAAACACAACATACCTTGCCGTAAATACGCTAAATGGGTTAATAAAACTTCTGCATTATAAGGCGACACCTTTCGTAGAAAATCGTCACGACTCATTTGGCAAAGTGCTGCACCGTCTGTATGAAGGAATAAATTAGAATCGAGATCACGAAGACCGTATTGTCTAATAGCCCAATCTAACCACTGTTCCACGTGGCTTTCTGTCCAAAGGGAAACTTCTGAAATTATAAAGAATGATTCTCTATTTGTATTAATTCAATCAATCTTCATTTTTGTTGAAATAAATATCTTCTGGGAAAAGGAAGAAAATGTAGGCATAGCTTCCCTTGATCAAAATCGTCACATTTATCTACATATTCACTGAATTATAAAATTTGTAAAAAAAATGTATACGTTAGTCAGAAATATTATTATATACACATCATTCCCATATACATGTAGTCAAAAAAACATAAGTCAAGAAAACCCACCAAAAACGACAAGCTAATTAACATTTCTAAAATCAGATGTTATTTTCTGGTAATATTTGTAAAGCTTATAATATATGTAATATATAGACTTCTAATCTTCCAAACTTCAAGTAATGTGTTGTGATAAAAATGTAACCCGACTATTAACATAAAAACATAGTATATTACAAAATACATGTAGATAAATATTATTTTCTAAAATATTCTTAAATAACAAGATAATCTGAAATATAAATGACATTGACATTAATTATAATAAGACATGGAATTTCCTATAAAGTCTACCTGAAAATAACAGCAATCCTGAACAAAATTAAATCTACAAAGAAATTCTGGCAACTGAAACAAATACTTTAACATCTTCCTTAATATAGGATTTTCAAATCAAATGTTTATTACAGTTTTAAAATTTTCATATTAACATCTGTAATGTTTTGTTGTCATGACAATCAAAATAGTGGCACTTCATTTGTTCTCTTCTCGCATGGAGTCTACTGAAGTGATAATTTGATTTACACTGTATAGCCTCTTCCTGATTTACTGAACAACCCCCTATTAAGAACCACCGTGACGTATGTTGCACACAATGTCATATCCCGTGGTTTAGGTAATTTCATTATTGTCTGAAAAGGAAATGGACAATTCAGCCATAAAGCTCGGCCGAATTAAAATTCTAATTTACTTGATAAAAATTACAATCGACTAATAATTCATATATGAAACACAAAACATGTTACAATTTGCCTTTTTTAATTGCTTCAATTCAAAATAGTTTTATCTATAAAATTAATTAAAATCAGATATCAACAGATAGTTTCGACTGGTATATGTCTCAACTGATTGGGCTGTGTGTGCTGTTAAAAAATGCAATTATGGAATTAATTCTATGAAAATACACTTTATTATCACCATGGCCTCCAAAAGATAGGATCTGATCGACACTGGTAAAGATATAGTTTGATCAGATGCTTAGACAATAAACATGGGCATATCTTGTGTAGTGTTTCTATAAAGAGCTGACAGTTCTCACTATAATGGTTAAAAAATAGATAATGAAATGGCAATATATCGGACATTTCAGTTACATCACGTCATTTTGAACGGAGTTATGGCCGTTTGAAGAATAATGTAGTTTCGATTATCATTGCTACCGTTGTTATACGATAATAAACCAATTCTGAATTATCCATTTTTGAATTAAATGTTCAAATCCGTTGATAATTTCAAGCATCCGATGACCTATAGAGTTGATTATGGGCTTGGCATGTGAATAATCGTGTAAGTAATGATTTATATAACAAACGAAATCCGTTGATAATTTCAAGCATCCGATGACGTATAGAGTTGATCATGGGCTTGGTATGTGAATAACTGTCTAAGTAATGATTTATATAACAAACGAAATATCTGCAATGGGCAGATTTAGGTCTTACATAAAGCATATTTAATTTTAAAAATAAATTCGAATACAAAAAAGCAACCAAAACTTGTTAGCTATGTAAAATTTCCAAAATAAATTCGTTCTTGGAGAGTTGGTATTTCCCGTACCGTGCACGACATTGGTCACCTAGATCATAAAACTTATAAAATGCGGTCATTTACTACTATAAATGTGTTTTGGACCATCTGAAATATATATTCTTAATGCCAAATTCTATAAATACGGAGTGAACATTAAAGCAGAAGTAATTATTATTTCATTGTTATTTCCGTATAGACGTTCGTATATTATGTTTAACAAATCAAAGGACAGCGTCCCGTTTTTGGGGCCATGGTTCCAAACATATGAATTGAATATAGTAATATAATGAGAATCTATTAGTTATGATTTATTGTTTATTTAGGAAAATTTTCAATATGTCATCGTGTTCACTTTTATAACAGTTTGATAGTTCAAGTTAAACGTTTATTTCACAATTGCGTTCGAAATTGCAATAATTCAAGCCATAGTGTCACAATCAAAACTGGCCATACCTGTGTATCCATATATAATAACCATGATCACAAGAAAGTCTAGACGTTTTGAATAATGCTGTAATTGTTTAGCTTTTATTTTGGAATCATATAACTTAGGTATACCAAAGCTTGTACTCAATTATAGTAATAATTATATATATTAAAGAAGCTAAGTCTCTAACTCAATATCATCCAAAATCTTCGACATTGAAAACACGGATTATTTGTCGGTTTAAATCAACATTGATGTTGTAACCTTACCGGGAAAAGATGGCCTTCTGATATCCAATATTTAAGACAAAATAAACATTTTACAATTGGTACACGAATCGTGTACCATAATGCGTTTCAGCGCTATTTGTAATAAGGGACTCGAAAAGCGAGGCCAGGCATATTCCACAAGTCATGTCAAACGGTGACGCTATATTCTTATCTGGAGAGCAAGCCCAATAAATAATATCCGCGTAGACTGGAATAACCAGACGCTAGAGATTGAAATTCGAATGAGAATACTGGCGTATTTCGCCGAACCTAACTGATTAAAAATTACAGTAAAAACAGAAACGTTTGAATGTAAATCAATTTATATACATTCATATTACATTATTGTATGCGTTGCGACCCATTTGTGTCAATTTCTAGGTCCCAAATATTAGCGACTTAGCTCCTTTAATGATACTACCAAATCGTATTTGATATAATATGTATCTTTAAATTGTAACTATAATTAGTAAATGTTTTATCTGTGTTATTTTCGTGGGTAATAGTTTTATTTATAGATTTATTCTCTAGTTATATTCTAGACGCATGTCACTAACTTGTATACGTCATTATTTAATCAAAAAACTTATTGAGTAAAGTAGCGGTGATAAATGAATCGAACTTAGGATAATATAAAAAAAAACAGAAGGAAATCTTGAAGTTGGGCATTTTGATAAAATAATAATTGGTTTCATCCAAGGGTCGCAAAGGTTGTATGTACGACATATTGCACAGTATGAATGATGAATTTCGGTGAATTTCGCGATAACAGTAGTTTTAGTTATGAAAGGCAATATATATTGTATGGACTTGCATATAAACATATATACATATACAACATCTGGAAAAAGTTGAAGCAATCTGACCTAATTGTGGCCAACAGCAAAGTGAGAGAAGCACGTCAAGTAGGTAGATACAGAAAGTTAAAAGGTTCTGATTTAAACAATATGTATATAGACATCCCGTCTTTAGCTCAACTCTTCATTTTCTGAACAAACAAAAGGAAGTTTACGTTGTAAATGAAATTGGTCGGTCATCTTATAACTGGCGTATACTTTCAGAATAATATAATAATATCCACGCCATCTGATGATTCACAACATTTATAAGTGGATTTCAATCTACCCAGATAAATGCCATATTTTCTCAGTCACTTTATAGATGTACGTTTTTGGACTAAATGCTATTTTGTTCTCGTCTAACTCTATATTTAGATAAACGTAGAAGATTATAGGAGTAACGACTTTCCTAGCTATAGGTTTGTCGATGCCCGGGCCATTTCCATGACTATACGCCCCCTGCCCCTCCCCCAACGATTCAAGGATAAGACTTAGTACTCAGGGATGTGAGGAAGGAGGACATTTTAAACATGCAACATTAGCTGAAAACAAACTTTTTATTCAAGTTAAGTAGGGCAGATTGCAGACCAACGTTTGCACCGATCATTTCTTAAATGGATGCCCGGAGCCCCCCCCCCCTCTCTCTCTCTCTCTCTCTCTCTCTCTCTCTCTCTCTCTCTGTGCACACTACTGCGTTAAGTTTGAAATAGTACTAATTATAATATTTTTAACGTCATCCCTTCCCTTGACACAAAACAAAACGAAACAGAAGTTAAATGCTCTGATCGCTATCAGTTTAGTGTCAGGAAGACTTGATTTCAGTTCAAACACATTATAATTTACAGAACAGTTAGAAACTGTATCAAATGATAATGTCATTTCTTTAATGGTAAGATAAAATGGCGCCTGTATCAGTATGTATTAACTACATCAATAAGGACAATTATTAGAGATATCATCATTATGACTAAACAATATATGAATAAAATGATATTATCTCCCTTATTTATTTGCATATCGTTCTTAAAGATTATTCTGGCAATCTTTTGATAATGTGTTCTCGTTTCGATTTTCTCACATATGTGTTATTTTCTTACAGATACAAGAACAATAGTCCCGTAAAAACTAAACTCGGCCTAAATATCTATATCAGTATTGGCAGGCTTGAAACACGGTAATCAAGTACAGCTGGTTGTAGTTTATTCACGTGTTGGTAGTATTTTCCTGTCTTCAGTAGTTTGTGCAAGCGACTTAATGTTGGAATAAGAGGTGTTTGGTTTCCGAACTACACCAGTTGTATTCCTACACACATGTTGTCCACATGTGCCTCAGTGCACCCTAGTGTAAGACGATGGGCGGAGAAACAAATAGTTCCCGGTATTGCAGTTTCCCAAGGGAAATATTTTTTAAAACGCTGAAGTATTTAGGGAAATATTCCCCTTTTACATAGTTACCTGGGCGCTATATTATGTAATATATGGTAAACATTTATAGAATACGTCAATTTATAATGGAGAGAACATGGTAAAATGTATTGTTTAGTTTTTATTTAGAAGTTTTACTTGTAAAAAACATAGATATGTAAATAGGAGTATATATATTATTCGTCAAAATAACATAATATTTAAAGGCACATTATTTTTAATTTACAAAAACAAAGTTTTAAAAGAAAGACTGCGTGGTTATGTTCTT